CTGATGTGGGAGGAAGGTAAAACTGGCAAAATGGCAGAAGAAGCATTGTGAATGTTGTATCTGTTGTGTTGAGGCATGGATGAAAAGGCTTGCATTAAAATTGTCCGTTTTTTCCCCCCATCTTGCCAAATTTGGCACTTTCCTTCTAGGTTCCTCTGCGACTCCAAAGCTCAGAATTCCTGACTAGCATGGACTGACTGTATTAGCTGATTAAATTTTACATTCTTACTGGGTGTAGTCATCGGTCTCTTTATCTTACATGGTATGTATTTTTTTTTTAAAAAAAGGATCTTCGATTATCTGATCAAGAATAATGTAAATTTACAGGCCAAATAGGGAAGTCATCCTTCTGCCTAGGAGGATTTCAAAAGTTAATCAGCATGAAAATGACAGCATTCAGCAGAACAGCCAATCTTTTTAATCAGAACTATTAATTTTATTTGATGGGGTTTTGTCCTTGTTTATATTTGAACTTGCTGGTTGAAGACAGCAGGAAGTTGATAAATGGTTCGGCATGGCTTTTGAATCCGTGCATGGTTGCTTACAAAATGGAACAAGTTAATGCAAGTCGAGGGGTCCAGCCTGTCATCACTAAGTATCCAAGATAACACATCAGCAAATTCACAGACAGAATCAAACATCATACTAAATGCAGGTTGCTTTAATCAGATTGGATTAAGCCACAATGACTTGGTTCACATCATACTCTCAACCAAAGATAAACAAATCACATTTGTATTCATGTAATGTTTGAGTCCAGCTGTAATGACAGATATGTGTTTATATTTAATGCGTGTAACTTAAAAGAAAAGAAAGAGTGCTGAGATATCAACCGCCAAGGGGATAAATTTTAATTTAATTTTCTTCCTTCTCCACCACAGTCTGATTAAAAGAATGTTCTAGAGAGAAGATCCCTCTCTGGTGTCCTGTCTCATGGAAATGGATCCTTTAGCCTTGCCCCAATCACTCTGGCAGAGTACCCCATTCATACTTGGCATCCTACTTCAAAGCACAATGCCCTGGCTTGAGCTATAGCTTTTCCTTGGAAGAGCTATAAAGTATGCATGAAAGCAAAGCAATGAGAAACATTTGTGTTGTGGCCCAGCAGGAGCCGTTGGAGCTGCCACCAGACTCCGACAGTGAGGGGTCCTCTGAGTCGGCTCTGGAGGAGGTGGAGGACCCTGGCCAGGGT